CCGGACGCGCGTAGTAATACATGCGTAAGAGGGCGTGCGCGTCCTAGCCGACTTGTGCTATCCTCCGAGTAAGCGGTACTTTTGAACATACCGCCCGCCTTCGTTAATAAGCATTAACGAATATGTTACAGCGTGTCTTGGTCCTGGTTGCCTGGAAAAGGACAAACCTTAACAATGGGTCGTATTAGAACTGAGGTTTGAGTTTGTACCGTGACAACTCGAGTACGACCGTCTTTACCAGCGTGTGTTTGGATAATGCGCCCCAATGGCCATTTTGAAGGCGGGTACCGCTCATCAACAACCAGAACTAAAGTCCCTTTTTCGAGGGATTTACTCACCCTATTCCATTTGTATACTGACAGATATCTCTGGAGACATTCCTTAGACCAATGTGACCAGAACGAATCAAGCTTCTGCCGCACCAGTTGCCATCGCGATAATCGACTTGACTTAACCATTTCCAATGAAGGTTCCGGAACAATGACTGGAGCACTACCCAGCAAGAAGTGCCCAGGTGTAAGTACGTTTAGATCGTCAGGATCTTCTGTGAGGGGGCACAAAAGCCTTGAGTTGAGGACTGATTCCACTTGTGAAAGTAGGGTAGTCATTTCTTCATAAGTTAGGAGAGTATCCCCTACGACTCGATGAAGGTGGTATTTCACTGATTTAACCCCCGCTTCCCACTTCCCTCCAAAGTGCGGAGCGGAAGGAGGGTTAAACTTCCACTGCGTCCCATCATTTGCAAGTAACGTGGCGAGGTTGGTTGACTCCTTAGTGGATTGCGAGAATAATCTTCGTAATTCCGCATCTGCTCCCTTGAGTGTGGTTCCGCAATCGCTTGAAAGCGTTGTACAGATTCCTCTTCTTGACGTAAATTGCTTATACGCGGCAATGAAAGCCTCAGCAGTGTAATCCGTGACCAATTCTAAGTGCACGGCAGAAGTCGAGAAGCAGACAAATACAGCGATGTAAGATTTATAAGTGCGTGCGTTCTTCCCTTTCCACGTTTTTGTCACGAATGGTCCTGCATAGTCAATGCCCGAATGTGCGAAAGGACGATTGGGCGAGACTCGGGTGGTAGGAAGCTGACCCATCAACTGTTGAGCTCTTGTCTATCTGTAGCGGGCACACTTAACACATTTGAGAATGAAAGATCGGACCGGGGTTCTGCCTCCTACAATCCAATATTCGCTTCGTAAGAATGATAAGGTAATCTGTGTGCCTCCATGCAAGGTCCTCAAGTGAGCATCTCGAATAATAAGCAACGTTAGAGCTGATTCCTTTGGCAAAATTAGTGGATGCTTTTCATCTTGAGAAAGAGAAGAGAATTGAAGACGACCTCCGACCCGCAGAAGTCCCTTGGAGTCTATAAATGGTGTGAGACGTACAAGCGGACTTGACTTTGAAAGAGGTTGTCCCTTGAAGAGCAACTGTAGATCACTCTGAAAGAAGAACCTTTGGATTTCCTTGACCCAGTAGAATTTTGCTTCCGCTAACTCTTGCGTAGTTAGAGGACCTGAAAATGACATAGCGGTAGATTTTTTGAAACGAGAGACTGCTCGTTGACAAATAGCCGTAACCCGGTACAGCTTCACAAGACTAGAATATCGATCGATTAGATCCCATTGCGTGGATTTCTTGGTATTAACTGAAAGAACCTTCGTAGGTCTTTCTTCAAGGCTCTCTCGTATGGGTTGTTCCGTAGGAAGTCTTGGCCAAGTTGACGAGGATTGGGAGAGCCATGAAGGCCCACGCCACCAATTTGAGAGATCCGACAGCTGTGAGGATGTTAAACCTCGTGTAGCAAGATCGGCGGGATTGTCCGTTCCTGGCACGAACCTCCACTCAGCCTGTGGTAATGTTTCTTGGATATGGCAGACTCTGTTATAGACAAAATCCTTCCATCGAGAAGGGTGGCTGTTCAGCCACGTATGTGTGATAGTTGAGTCGGTCCATAATATTATGCGTAAATTCTTCCATTCCAACACGTGTAACAAGTGGGAGACCAATTTAGTTAATAAAACTGCGCCTGATAATTCTAATCGAGGGACCGTTAACCTTTTCAATGGAGCGACCTTGGTTTTTGAGGCCACAAAACTGATGTTTACTGTCTCCTCATCGTACGTTGTCCGGAGATACACAACAGCTGCCATGGCTTGCTGTGACGCGTCACAAAATCCATGAATCTCCACTTGGCGATCGTTAGAACACCCTATCCATCGTGGGGGAGTAAATATTGGCGCATCCTGAAGAGATCTGACAAATGTAGTCCATTTACCAGTAACATGGTCTGGCAAAGGGTCATCCCAACCTAATTTTATTGTCCATAATTCTTGAATTAAGAGTTTACCAATAATGATGATCGGAGATAGAAAACCTAGGGGGTCGAACAGCTTAGCTATAGTAGATAAGGTGGTTCGTTTCGTGATCATACCTTCTGCTGGAAGAGTGAATTTAAAGTTAAAGGTATCTGTGGATGATTGCCAGCCAAGTCCTAATGTGTGGACGACTAAGTTATCCTTAAGTTCTATGAATTTAGAGTTATTCTGCTCATCTGTGGAGACAGAGGAGAGTATGCTCAAATTATTGCTCACCCATTTTTGTAATTTAAAGCCGCCCGCCATGCACAGTTGGTTTAATTGCCTTACAATTTCTTGAGTTTGCTCAAGAGTATCCGCACCTCCGAAGATATCATCGACATACCTTCCTTTGCTTAACGAAGGAACAGCAAGCGAGAACTTTGTCCCTTCATCTTCTATCAATTGTTGCAAGGCACGCAGGGCCAAGAATGGAGCACAAGCCAAACCATACGTTACTGTAGTGAGATGATACGTGCGTAAGTGACCGTCGTTGTCAATCCAGAGAATCCGTTGGAGATCCCAGTCATCTTCATGTACGTCAATCTGCCTGAACATTTTCTCTATATCCGTAGAAAACACATAGCGAAATAGTCTAAACCATATCAACACGTCAAACAGATCAATTTGTAGTTTAGCTCCCGCGTGTAACAAATCGTTAAGTGAATACCCGGGTGTTGTTGGACTCGATCCGTTAAAGACCACACGTAACCGCGTAGTGAGACTATGCTCTCTTATAACTCCGTGATGAGGAAGATAGTAAGTTACCGGAGGTTCGGGTCTATCTTTTGGAACAATCTTCATGTGATTCAGTTTTTCGTACTCGTCGATGAAACCGCAATACAACCGCGAAAACTCGGAGTTGGAAGAAAGTCTGCATGACAACTTCTTGATCAATTGAACGGCTTTGGCTTTAGAATCTCCCAATTTATTGATAGGCTCCTTGAGGGGTAATCTTACTACATAACGACCATGTTCCGTTCGAGAATGAGTAGATTTAAAATGTTCTTCACAAGCTTGTTCGTCGGTGGGCTGAGAAGAAGTCTTGAAAGGAACTATTTCATCAAGTTCCCAGAATCGATGCATTAAACTGAAAAGATCACTTTCGATTGATACGTGAAAGCTATGAGAACTATCAGGTGATGATTGAGAGCTCGTTGGTCCGGAAATAATCCACCCAAGTTTTGTAGCCTGAGCCATTGGAGCGTTATTTGATCCCTTCCGTATACCATTCTGAATGATTTGACCAAAGACATCGGCTCCTAGAATAATATCAATTGAACCGGGTACTAAATAATTCGGATCTGCCAACTGGATCCCGTCCAAATGTGACCAACCGTGATTTTTTAAGGAGACTGATGGGATTGTCGACGTGAGCTTCGGTAAAATATGTGCTGATATTGAGCACTGAAAAGAAGAATTAAAATGAGGCTTTATACTAAAACAGGTCATACCTTTAGTTCGGTTAGATGCGACACCTCCTATACCAATTAGCGGAACGTGAGATCGAGTACGTGGTAGTCGTAGTCGTACTAATTGTTCCGTAATTAGTGACACCTCCGAGCCTTGGTCAATCAAAATTCGAGCGTTTGATGAATCTCCATGCTCGGACGTGATAGTAACCAGAGCGGTTGCCAGTAGAACGTATGGCGTATTGACTTCACTTCCAAACGCAGAGTGTAAAACCTGAGGTCCTTTAGTTGTCTCCGTGTTGTCAGGCTTAGTCGTAGTCGGTTCGTTAGGTTTTCCTGCTGCTAATTTCGCCGAATTGCCATTAGACCTTGTGTTTTCAAAGTTGCCTCGATAAAGCGTGGTATGATGCTTTCCAGCACACTTTTTACAACGTGTCGTTATACGACAGGCCGATGCCCGATGCGGGCCCAGACAGTTGAAACATAAGTTGTGTCTCTGTACAAGTGATACGCGTTGTTGAACCGTCTTGGAAGTATATTGAGGGCAACTGGCAGACCAGTGACTTTCGGAGCAAAACGAACATGAATGGACGGTCTTGTTTTTGCCTTGGTAATGAGACTTAATATTACTTGGAGTTAGCTGAGAAACGAGCTTTCCCTTTCGTGATTCATGACCCTTCAGATTCATAAGTCGATTTCGGAAGAACTCTTTAAACTGTTTCCATGTCGGAAGTTCGTTAGTAGGACCCCGAAGTAGATCCCACAGGTTTACGATGTCAGAATCGAGTCGTTGTATGATCATAAATATTAGAATATCGTCCCAGTGATGAATCGGTCTTCCCAGTGTTTCCAAGGTTCGATACGTCTCCATTACGCCAGTAAACAATTTCTCCATCTCTCCCGCTGTTGGCTTCGTCATTGGCTTTAAACTGAATAATGATGTTAACGCGGAATTGACTAACATCCTTTTATCTTCATAGAACGACACGAGAGCTTTCCAATCTTTTGAGAAGTTACCGCCAGTAAGCATGGTGTTTTTCAATAAGTTATATGCCGATCCCGTCAAACTAGTCTTTAAATATTGCAATCTTTCGATGTCAGTTAGTGATGAATTATTTATGACTAAACTAGTAAAGAGATCCTTGAAATACAGCCAGTCCGCGTGATTTCCATTGAATTTTGGAATGTCGTAGCGGGGGAGTTGCGATCGATTGATAAATGCAACGGTATCGGAAGATGTTTCCGAAACGTTCCTTGAAGAGGACGTTCCCGGAATGCCTCTCGGAATGCTTCCATGATCTGATTGTGCATCCAAAAACGAATTGAACCGTTCTACAGACTCTAAATAATTTTCATTTGTGATGGAATATAAATTGTCCTTAAAATAAGAATGCCCCATTATACTTTCTTTATCGCTATCATTCAATTGTTTAACAGCCAATGTAATTGCGTCATGTCTCACACAGAACTTTTCCCAATTATCCTTGAGAGCTGAGAGGCGTACATTAATTCTTTGAGAGGTTACACTTTCCATCCCATTCTTAACAAGATTATCATAGGATTGCCCTATGGTTTGCATAAGCGCGAGCTGTTGCTCAACATAATGCCCAGCGTGACTTAACCTCATGATTCTCTCCTTTGTTTACCGCATAAATTATATCCGGCTCGAAGGACCAAAATGTTATGTGTGTACGCTGGACTGTATTACGTTTAGAACAACTAGTCGAGAAAAAAGGTACGGAGAATGACTGTACAATATTGCTAATAGCGGACAAAACGAGGACAAAGGAGAGAATTTCGTTTCTTTTATATATATTTAATTTATGGCAGTTAAATAATGACAACGATAAAGTGACACAAAACGTATTAATAACGAAATGAATAGAATTAAAGTTAAATAATTATGTATAGAATAGAAAGTTAAATAGCTTTATCGTTTTT